CTGGTAGATGGCTGTGTTGACTTTGGACTTGATAAAACACAGTGGACCAACACCAGCAGATGACATGGCTCTCCAAATCATCACTGACTGTGGAAACTTCACACTGGACTAAAAGCAACTTGGATTCTGTGCCTTTCCACTCTTCCTCCAGACTTTGGAGGAAGACCTTGATTCCCAAATGAAATGCAAACTTCACTTTCATCTGAAAAGGGGACTTTGGACCACTGAGCAACAGTCCAGTCCTTTTTCTCCTTAGCCCAGGTAAGACGCTTCTGACAGTTGTAGCCCATGTCCTGGATACATCTGTGTGTGGTGACTCTTGATGCACTGATTCCAGCCTCAGTCCACTCCTTGTGAATCTCCCCCAAATTCTTGAATTGTTGTTGCTTCACAATCCTCTCAAAGCTGCGGTTATCCCTGCTGTTTGTGCACCTTTTTCTGCCACACTTTTTCCTGCCACTCAACTTTCTATGAATATGCTTGGATACAGCACTCTGAACAGCCAGCTTCTTTAGCAATGACCTTTTGTGGCTTACCCTCCTTTTGGAGGGTGGCAATGACTGTCTTCTGGACAACTGTCAAGCCAGCAGTCTTCCCCATGATTGTGTAGCCTACTGAACCAGTCTTAGAGATCCTTGAAGGCACATTGTGAGTCTACAATACTGAACTATTACTAATATTCTCATTTTCTGAGATACTGAATTTGGGGTTTTCATTAGCTGTGAGTCATAATCATCAAAATTAAAAGAAATAAAGGCTTGAAATATTTCACTCTGTGTGTAATGAATCTATATAATATATATGAGTTTCACTTTTTGAATTGAATTACTGAAATAAATTAACTTTACCGTGATATTCTAATTTATTGAGATGCACCTGTATATACTGGTTTCATGGTGGTAGTAGAGGAAAGGTAGGATTCATCCTGAGCACCATGAATATCCACAACAGATTTCATTGTTAAGATGTCTGGAGTTCGGTTTACACCTGCTCTATTTGGAAAGCATCCTGAGATAACTTCTGTTATGAATTGGCGCTATACAAATAAAATTGAATTGAATGTCTCCATTCATCTTGGCTGTCCAACACACCAGAGCAAGAAAGTCCATCCTTCATTTGCACATGTTAAAGCACAACTAGGTTACTGCAACAACAAAAAACGAAACAAAAAAATCCCTATCTTGAGGAGGAGGAGGAGAAAAAAGAACTAGATATCTGGGTGATGTAATGGACCTTTTTGAGAGGGGGAGGAGTGATAATAACGGGATAAACTCTCAGGTATTCAACATCCAGCCTCAGAAAAGATGCTATTAGATGGAGTCGATAAGTAGAGGAGGAGGAGGAGGAGGAGGAGACAGGGACAGATGATGAAAACAAAGAAGAAAAGGTTGTTTGGAAAAATATAGGTGGGCTGGATGTGCTGTTTAGACAGACCAGAGAATTGAATTAATGGATGTTTGGAAGATAATGCAGGAGGACTGAGTTGTGGGATTAAGGTGTGATGTGGTGGACAAGAGGAAAAATAGGATGGAGACATAGAAATTGTTGTATATGGTGCCTCAGCGTGGACAGTAAATGTTTACATTGGAGCTAAAGCTAATGAACAGGAAGAGAAAAAGGAGAAGTTTTAAAAGAATGATGTTTGGAGAAAGAAGGTCAGCAGTAATACACGTTCTGTATCTTATATTTAACCAGCACTGTCATGGGAACTCTGTATCTCTGTCACACATCAGTGTGTGTGTGTGTGTGTGTGTGTGTGTGTGTGTGTGTGTGTGTGTGTGTGAGTGTGTGGGGAGTGTGTGAGAGAGTGCTTGTCCTCTTTGTGAGGCCATTTTTTTGTTTTAAATGTTGAAAGTAAAACTTTTCTGTAAAGTTTTGTCCCGTCCTGAGAGAACTGTTTGGTGGTTGAGACATTTAAGGGTATTAGGTTTATCTTAAAATAAGGAAGTTGTTGTAGAGCGACAAAGTTGAACTGCTATCTGCTCCCTGTTTTCCTACTGATGGTCAACATTTTTTTTTTGTTCCCTAGCCCTAGCCAAGTGGTTATTATTGTAACCATGACGATGTGGGTTCTCTGACCTTAACCTTTGGAGGCACAGACAAATGATGTCATCCTGCCAATAAGTGCATAAGATCACAAAATGTGTCACAAAAGTGTTGTTCTTAAAGGGCAGTTACACATTTGATTGTTTAATTTGGTGGTGTGTTGCACGAGTATAGTACAAACATCCAGAGATGTGTGTGCCTGCATTCACATCGTCAGGGGACTCACTTCCTGTGTGCAGGTCCCCACAAGCTAAACCACTTTTTTTGTTTTAGACATGCTTTGTTATTAAGTTTGAAATGATACTTAGATTTATGACTGTTTTTTATAATTAAAATGTTTAATTTTGATTTAACAATAAAATAAGACTCAAATGGCCTATATGGGATTTGTCAGCAAATAGTGTTGCTTTGTTAGAGCAACTGAAACTGCTGTTTTTCTCATCTACGTGGGTGAATTTAGGATTTATTTTGACCAAGCAAAGTTGGTGATTGTCTATGGAGTCAAGAGATATCAATATAACAGCTGTTTCAAAAGGTCTATCTCTGTAGGGACCCTTTACATAATAACACTTACATAACAATCAGAGCCTGTCAGTCAGAGTACATCCACTTGAAGTTCTTGTTTTTGCCACTGACATATTTGTCATCTCATTCTAAGTTAACAAAAAAACAACAATAATTTATTTCAGGTGAAGAAAACAGGAGTATTATATTCCATGTTTGCCAACAGATTCTGCTAAATGTTACAGACTAAACATTTAACATAAACACCTTTTAACATATAAACATATTTGTGGATTTAGAAATGAGCATCTTTTACCTAAATTTGTATATTTCTGTATCGTTATGGTGCTTTTACCTCCTTTTATTCCTTTTTCATAGTAAAGATAAACCATCTAGCAAATCCCCTTTAAGCCACAACTTACCGGCAGTGTCTGGTGAATATCAGGTCTGCTGGTGATGCTGAGTCTCATTTACCGACTATTGCTTTGTTGTTGTTGTTGTGTAAGTCAGAGAAAAAATACATTTATCAGTTAAATAATAATAAATACAAAGAAAAAAATGGTGATTACCAAATGAAGCATTTGTTTGTCGAAGCAGCATTGTTCCCATAATGCCCCCAGCCATGAGATTTTTGTTTTCTAAAATGAATATGTGGGGTTTGGGAAATGAACCAAATTGCATTGTGTTAATGGTAAACAGGGAGGTGTCATCTGAAGTGTTTACCCCTCTAACACACAGTTAGTCATCCTGCTGCCCCGACACCTTCTGTATTGTTCCGAAAAAATTCCACCCTAAAACTGCTGTACACACACACTCACAGTGAAATCATCTTTCAGTGCATGCCTTCAGCCAAGACTGCCAGCTTACATCATACAAGTCTTGTCCGTGTCTCCAGGCAGTGAAGATGGTCAGCAGTGTGTTGCATTCAGTTATTGTGCTGGAGGCCTGATGACACACAGACCTGCAGCTCAACAGGGAGCTGCATCATTGCACTCATTTATTTCTGCTTTATAATATTACAGCCACAACTGCCTGCAGCAGCATTGTGAGGAAGTGCAGGGTGAATTAAGTGTATGAAGCATAGCTCACCTCACACCAACAAACTCTGAAGTGTGGATTATGAGCTCTGTGCAGCTCAGCATTGGCGCAATGCATTTTTCCTGAGGAAAAGTGTTTTTAATGGCGGTGCGGCGGTTTACTGTTTTGATGTGCTTCAGTGGAAGGAGGTGCAATAGAGGAGTGGCATTGGTAATTTTCTGTGTCAGGATTTCACACACTTTGCACCATCTGTACCCAGTACGTAGGGCAGATTGGTGTTTTGTGATATGTGGACAGTTTGTGGGTGTAGGAGCACACACAAACAGACATCAGCAGAAGTCTGATAGCAAAAACAAAATATAATTTTATTTTGGACAGAGAAAAGTCAGGTACACTTAAGAGACTAAAAGCATCACAAGAAAACAACATTTTTCTTCTAAGCGATGCCCATGATTTGTACTCTTGCCAGCATCATCCACAACAACTAGTGTGTACTGCATAAAGGCCTTTATTTTTAGTTCTCTTCAGATCCATCTGAGGGTTCAGGTATGTCTTTCCCTGAAGTCTTTAATATGAATGACATACACTGTCACACTGGAATTATGCAAAACAGATTAATCTGGTAATCTTGATGAAAGTTAAAACCATCAAAAATGAACTGCAAATAAATATATGTTCTTGTGCATATTTAATCAATTGTGTCGTAGTATTCTACACAGTCTACAGCCATGGTAGTGGCTCTGTGAGGCTGTAGTTTGGCACAGTGGTGCTTTATTGAGTAATGCTACTTACTACTAATTACTAATTACTACTCATATGCTCACCAAGACAGTGCTAACATGATGATGTTTGCAGGTGTAATGTTCACCATCTTAGTTTGGCTTTTAGCATGCTAACATTTGCTAACTATCACATAGTTTTGGAAGTATTGGGTCATAAAGCAAAGTATTGGACAAATTGAATTAAACTGACACATTTTCTTGTGTTTATAGTTCAGCAAAAGATGCATGCTATTGCCATAGCAACCACAGCTGAGGTTTGTCTATATTATGTAAAATATACAGCAGCACGATATTAATTGCTGTATATTTTTGAGGAGGAATAAAAAAGAAAAGAGGATTTAGTTAGAATACCTTCAGAAGGATTATTGCTTTTAATGTTCTTTCTCTGTGAATTAAGCTAATAAGACTGGTCTTGGACTTCAAGATGTTTGCGTTGACAACAGAGAACCCTCATCAGATTCCATTAAACCTGTTTTGTCATGAAATTACTTTCAAAACAGAACAGTTGTTTGAATTTTATTCTTCAGATGAGAAATACGAAATAGAAAAAGAGGTTCCTGAGATGTAGAAATACTTGAAGTTGTGACTTTTGTGGCTTGTGCAAACCTTCCTCATCCTCTGAGACGCTTAATGCCTCCTCCATCCTTCTCTCCTCTCTTCCTCCTCTTCTTCCTCCTGTGTCCTGAGGTGTGGAGCTATGAGGCCCCCGAGGATAAGCAGGATGTATTTGCTAGAAAAGCCTGCCCTGCTTTCCTGACCTTCACCAATGCTGCCTACCTGGCTGGAGTCACTCTGGAGTTGCCCTGCCACTGCAAACCACAACAGGTAACAGGACTAAGCATAAAATAAACACTTGCTATATGTCTGTGTAATATGAATTCACTCTTTAATTCCAAATGAGCAGAAGAATTATTACAGCAGTTACATGTAACATTTTAGTCGACCTAATCCTCTTTTGGCCAAATTTTGTTCAGTTTTTCTTGACATTGTACTTAAATCAGCCTTTTACCAAAATACCCAAAAGAGTGTGTGATCCTCACAAGTTAATACATTGTTGAGTTAGTTACAACCAGTACAAAAAAGTATTTGTGTAATGTAAATAGCATAACTAACAGAATACACTACGTTCCCTCCTTTCTTTGTACAGTACCAGCTGTGTAAATGGATCGAGTTATTATCAAGCTGCTCAGCTGCCTTAATCCACAGCCTCTAGTCTGCTTTATGGAAAAGTAGGATTTGTAGAAGACAGAAGAAATATGTACAAATCAAGCACAGTTAAATGGAGCTGTGTAAAACTGAGGAGAAAAGAGAAAATGAGAGAATCACTTGGGTATTTTGCTTCTGAAACAGAATGGGAGACTTAAATCTCAGCATCTGCTAAAGTAATCTGCTCTGGTATTGATCAGCTGAATAACATTATCGATTCTCAGCAGATATATTTTGGTCATTTAATTCTCGGTGTGCTTCAGGTCCAGTCAGTTGTGTGGTTCTATAGGAAACATCTGGACGGCTCCAAGGAGACCAGAGCCCTGACTGATCACCATGGCAACAAGCTGCTTGACCCTAGCCATGTCCCTCACAGTGGCGCCCTGCAGAGTCGATTCTCCATCCGTCTCTTCAGCCTGCTCATCTTCAGGGCGGGTCCCGACGACTCCGGCATCTATATGTGCGGCTCCGCCCACAAAGACTTCTTCCATGGTTACGACCTGGACATCCAGGAAGCACGTACGTTCATCTTCACCCCGAGGTGACAAGAAAGACGGGTAGTTAATTACTGTGACCTTATTAGAAATATGACATCACAGTCGTGAGATTTTGACACTGATGATGATCAATGTGTTATTTTACCGTTAAGTACAATTGACTAAATGCTTTCCAGCAACGTGCATCGAAACCCAAATCACATCAATTCTGTATGGACATCCTTAGTATGTTTCTGCAAATATCTCTTCAATATTGGATTCTGTTCATCTAAACACTCAGACGGAACAAACTCTTTGTTAATCAGCTTGATATTCAATGTCATTATGAACCCACAATAAACAACTAATTTAAGTGACTCATATTCTGATTTGATGCTCCAAGGCTCACTTCAGAAACTACGAGCAAGAAAAGGAAAGAAAGAAAATCACTCGGTTCTGCTCAGCCGCTGTACCAGGTCTTCACCAGCTTCCGGCCCTGGTCAGTCTGCGATCGCTGTGGAGCACCAGGAGAGCAGGTTCGTGTTGGACTCTGCTACGTCCACTCCCACTTCCTGCATGTACGCTACAGACGGGCCAATCAGACGGTCACTTCATGCGGCTCAGGGGCGGTGCCCAGGGCTTTTGGTCGACTGAAGCGTAGTAGAGTTGGAGCCAAGCTGGAAGTCAAAAGCTGTCAAGTAACTTGTCCAAGTAAACCTCCCCCATCTTCCAAAATCCTTGCTCTGATGGCGTTTCTTGGGTACAAGTAAGTGCTTAAATAAGAGGTATATAGATAAGACAGACAGGTGGTGCAGCACCTGGGTCTGGGGGTAGAGTGAGTTGTGCAAGTCGCCAGACCATTGCCTTACATGGTGCATGATCCACTGGCAACCCTTTCTTAATTCCAGCTGGTCAAATATGGCAGTTCGGTCAGTGGCCCTACAAACTATCAAACTATTACTTTGTCTAATTTCTGGATGCACCCTTCTAACATAATGTTTTGATGTGCCGTTGAAGTCAGGTGATGTAATATAAAGAGGGGTAAAGTGAGTAAAAAGTTGAATTCTTTTTTTACATCCTGTTACGTTACATACTTATTTTAACAAAACCCATGATCTTTTCCTTGACCTAAACCTTTATTTTGAAATAAATTTTGTCTAACCAGACGTTGCATATTTATTATTGCAAACTTGACCGTGGAGCCCTGTGCATGCCAAACTGATGCTAGACAGTACCTACAGCGTCATAGTTTGAAGTATATGGCTACTGACCAAGCTACCATACTTGACGTTGACGAAGTTTGGAGTGTGCCCCTGGAGAGCATTAATGTTCATGAGAATTAGTACATTAGATTTAGCTATTTGCATTTTTTAGGGTTAAAAGAAAGTGCGATGGGGTCACCAAAAACATTAGGATTCACCCATTGAGGAGTATGAATACCCACAAGCAAAATACAGCTAATCCTTTTTTAAGATACCTTCTCATGACCACAATCATCTTCACCTGACAACAAAGTCAATTATTGCCACCAGGTCCAAAAGTGTAATAGTAATTTCTACAGTTTTTTTGCCAAATATATCTACATGGAACACTAAATCTACCACTCAAAGCCTTTTTGGACCAAATGTCAATATCTGTTTAAAAATGAATATTTCATTTTATAAATAATTAATAATATATTTTCCTTTTGCACTCACTGATTATAGTTTAGCAGCAAAAATGCTAAATATAAATGTAATGCATCTCAAATGTAATGACTCTGTTTCTTTGTTTTAGTTCTGCCTCCTTGCCAGTGGAGGTACCAGTGTTTTACCTGAATCACCCTGCAGACCATGTCTTGACCCTGGGCTGTCCTGGGGCACGACCTAACATGGCCGTGGCCTGGGACCGAGGATCTGAACCCATCTACCGATCTGAACACTCGGCAGCTCGTAACCTCAGCGCCACACCCCCCAGGCTGCTGATAGACGCCGGACACCACCTGGTCTTCAAACCTGCAAAAACTCAGGACTCAGGTAGCTACTACTGTTCACTAGTCTATCAGCCCGGACAAGCCTTGTGAAAACTATCTATATTTTATTATTCTGCTAGCCTTTAAGTGGTGTTTTGTTTACTTATTTGTTTACTTGTGCTAATTTGTGGGATATATTTTGATGCAGTGATACACCCCTACAGCACAAAATGGCACCCTGTTCTCCCAGTGTTTGTTCTGGAAGTCTTTTTTGTTGCTCACCTGCCAACCAGTCGTCACTGTGGCGCTCCCTTCCTCAGTCAATCACCTGGCTACACAGCCGTCCCTCATCACCACATAAGTTCCAGTGTATGTATTGTTGATCCAGGTTGTTTCATTTGATTAAAATATCCTTTTTTGTAAATTAGGTGTCTACTACTGCTGGCTGCAGGGTCACCAGGCTGCCGAGATACGTCTGCTGGTCTACGTCCACTTGGGGCGGGGACAGTCTGTGACATCACATCCTGACTTCCCAAGAGCTGTAAAGACAGTGTTAACATCATATGCTGTCATGACAGCGGTATTTTGCCTTCTAGTGTTCGGCAGAGCTGGAGTCCGACACCTCAGAGACACCAGAGAAACACATACGGATTAAACTCATTTTAATACTTGGTAGTTGGGTAGTTATCATCAGCCACCATTTTGATTTTTGGTTTGATTTTCAATGTTAAATGACCAGTCCAGCCTCATGAGGGACAGCTGGCATGACTGTATACCTCCTCCACAAATAGTGTTGAAATAATTATGATTAATATAACAGATTGCTTTATATATGTGAGGTAGGTGGATATGCCAGTAATGTGTGTTAGCCCAAAGCTTTTGGGTCTGTTGTGTGGAAAACAGTTTTTTTCAGTGTGAAAGCACATTAGTATCTGTGTTTAATGGGGTTCCTGCAGTGTTATCAACATGCTTTCTTTCACTGGATATTTGTGAACACTGATGAGGTTTTACTCCCCTGTCTTTGTGTGTGAGAAGACACCTAAGTATTCCCACCTGATGCATCCTCTCCAACAGAGTGTGAAGTGCTCTCAGGTGCGCAGCTCCTCCTGATAAGAGCTGCGGGACGGAGAGAGAAATGATGAAACAAAGACAGGCCCACTGAGAGAGAACAGAGGGAGATAATGGCACTTAGATAAAAGGAACGTAGTGGGATAAGAGAAACAAAAAAAAGTCAAGCTTGAGTGGTTGATAAAAAATGAATGAGAGATAGTGGATCTGATGAATGCCGGGAAAGACAGATGAGCATTTCAAATTATTTTATGCAGATTAGATTGGCTCAAAGTACAGACGGAAAATACAAATGTTTGTTGACTTCTCCTCAATTTAGAGAAATGTTTTGGGTATTCTTTTATTTTTCTACATGTTGTTATATTTGTGTGTTTTAGCTCCAATATATCACATATTTTACTTTCGTATATCTATAGAAAGAAATGTGGAAGTGTGGAAAAAATTCTGTTGTTGTAATTTATGATTACAGAGTGTTCATTTATTTAATTTTTAAATATGTTGATAACTCAATGCAGCTCAATAAAAAGGCAGACTCGGTGTGTTTGTAACAACCTGTCACACCTGGACTTCTGTGGCACCTGCAGGTGTTGAAGTGTCTCTTGAAAACCTCAGCGCTGCGATGAAGAGCAGCAGGGAGATGAGCAGGACCAGAGGAGGGATATGGGTTCTTGCTGTTAGACAGAGGGGACATCAGATGTGTCCTCATTAAGACGTCTCTCCACCCTGAGAGCCAGCGGGATGAACAACACAGACACACTTGTTCCTCCACAGCTGCGGCCTCCTCTTCAGTCCCTCTCATCCTCTCTCCATCTTTCGACCTCAGCAACTCTGAATAGGCTCAGTTTTTCAACCTCCAGCAAACAGACTGAAGGTTCTCAGTCAGCAGAATTCCACATATAGCCTTTGGGCATTTAAATGGTCCACATCAGGTTCTCACATGCTGCAGATCTATTGAGCTCAGAGCCTTTTACACCAACACAATTACATATCCATTTGTGGCAATAAACGGTCGTAAATGTGTCTAAATTATAGCCATGACGCAATCATGACGCTATAAATGACCAGTCCCTTATGTTTGATGGCTCTTTCTTTCTTTTGTCTTTCTTTTATTCTATATCTTTCATCTTTCTCTCTTGTATTTAATTACTAAAACTGTCGAGCTGACTTCTGCACAAATTATAGTCATAGAAATGACACAGGCACAAAGTAACACAGTAACATCAGTTCTTACTGTTGTATAAGTTGAAAAGCTCAAACTTGAGTGTTAGCGGCTAGAAGTTATTGGATTGGAGTGCCAACTAGAACTGCATTCAGGTTATCAAATACGTATATAACTTCCTGTTCATTTTGCACTTGTTTTGCCACACAGTGGTATATGTGCATTTAACTGGACAAATGTTACCAGTTGAGTCTCTGAGCACAGTTTTGTTTTAGATTGAGATTTAGATCAGACACAAAACTATCTAATCTCACCATCTCATCTAAAAGTGCTCCTTTCTTGGACCTTTCACAGAGATTTTAATAGTTATGGTGTATCCAATCCACTGTTAGTCCCAAAAGATCTCCAGGGTGTCATCCAGTTAACCCCACAGTACATTCAGTTTCCATATGCCGCTGCTCAGCAGACCCAGAAAAATTGACTCATATGCGCATCGAGGCACCATCTCCAAATCCGTCCCCCTTTTTCAATATAAAACAGTTCCATTCACTCAATGTCCAAATAATATGTGATGCACAGAATCACAACTTGAGCACAGTGGCCCGTTGGCCAGGGGAACGCATGACCTGGTTGCACCCCCAACCAAAAACCTCTCCAATGATGGCTCCAATGCGCTCATCCATATATGTTGAAAACAGCCTGTTTTTGTTTGTTTTTTACATTTTGCTGCCCTTATGTGACATATCCTTTCCTTTTTCTTTATTTTGTTCTTTTGTGTTAATAGTTACCTGTCAAACGTCAGTGGCTTGTTGGTTTATGGTTTGCAATTAACTTACATTGATACTTAAGCCTGCTGCCCATATAATTTATTCATAACTTTTCACATAGTTACAAAGTGCTTTACATGGTTGAAACCAGGATTTAAAACCAGGAATAAAAGACCCCCAACAGTAAAGATAAATACTAACAATAAAAGAGAAAACAGGTTGCATCCGCACTGAAGCAAATCACCAAATTGTGACACGCAATAAAATACGCATAAAAGTGTAAATATTTTCTACTTTTCAACACAAGGCATGGCTTCGCACTGCTCATTAATGTCACAATTAGAAATTGGAGCTAAAGTGAAGTTTAAAGGTGATATGTAAACTCTTAAAATCAATTCTGAAACTGACTGGTAACCAGAGGTGAGAGTCTAAAACAGGGCTGATATGATCTTGTCTTCTGGTATTTTGTCAAAAGCTGAGCAGCTGTTTTTTGTACCAACTGGAAGCATAGACTACATTGATGCATTTAATTCATACCTTGTGCAGTTGTGTGGTTTTACAATTTACATAAAAGTAAACTAATGTAAGTGAAATCTTAACCCATAGCAACAAACCTGGATAAACTATTCTTCTGTGCATAATCCTGTTCATAAAATTACTTTGAGAGATTGAATCGAGCCCAACACGACTCTTTTTCCCCTGTGAGTGTTTGACCAGAGCTCAGTCAGTCAGCCTATAATTACACTAACTGTTCCACTGCAAACCCAGAAACTGAATCTACTCAGAGAGATCTAATTTGATTTAATTTGTATGTTCTTTTAAATGTTAGTGGCCTTTAGAAACTTGATTGATACCTCTGTCAGATGATAACAATTGTACATGAGAAACTGTCTCTTCCTCAGTTAGCTCATATTTTTCATCTTTTTTTCATCTTTAAATTGCTCGCTTGTTCTCTTCTCACCTTTGATTCTGTCCTTACTTTAGCTTTTTTTTGCCCATTACTCCTCCTCACCTCTCCTTCTCAGGACTATGAGCCCTTCTGATTTTCACTGTAGCCTTATAATCAATCAGGGACTGATTTACAAATGGGATGAAAGGGGAGCTGTTAACAGGCTGTGAGGAGAGAAAGCCAGCCAGGCTCCTGGGCCCCTGAGGGAAGAGGTCTGAGAACTATTTTTACTCAAGGTGTGGAGGTGTTATCACAAAGCATGCACCAGGCCAGGTTGGGAAGTGTGGAGTTATAATCAGTCATCCGAATCCAAAGGGTTTATCCTCTGGGGAGTACGAATATACCCACATCGTATAAATCTGTCCGTTCATGAGATATTTTGTCTACACTAATTACATCCCCCAAGGGTGAAGCTAGATGAAGGGTCAAGGGTTCACCAGAACTACGAGGAATAATCCTCTGGGAATGATGAACATCCATAAAAAAAGATTTCATGGCAATCTGGCGTGCAGATATCTTGCTTTAAGTGTTGGTCGTTATGGGAAAACCCACCAAAAACAGTATCACCACATGAGCAGCTCCCACAAGAGAATGTCAGAGCAGTTCTGGCCCCTGAGTTTCTTGGTCTCAGAGGAATATCTTCCATCTCCTTGCCTCTCTTATCAGGAGATTCATCTACCACAGCAGTCTGAATGGCTCCTGAAAGGTCCTTAACTTACCTCAGCTCCCTTGCCACCTCCAGCATCACAGGGAGCAAATCGGGAAAAGATGTAACAAAGGCAGGGATAAAGGAATGATTTAAAGATTCACATGAAACCTATGAGAACTGCCAAGTGAGAAAACAAGGACATCTACATTATACATTCACCCATTCTCACACCAATGGCAATTAGGCCAAAGGACACTTCGACCATTCAGAGGGAGGAACTGGAGCTCAAAAGGCCAACCTTCTAGTAAGTGGCTGACCTGCTCTTCAGCCGCCCCACCAACTCACTGATAGCGGTTGAATGTGTTTATCTTTGTGGAGTTGCAAGTCGATTGCAAACAAATTGAACTATGATGTGGTAATTTAGTTGCGAACGCTCTCCTAAAGCCAGACCTACTGCAAAGAGACAACTTCCTGCTACTCTTATTTCACATTACAGTCACATGCAATGCTTAACACAATCCGATTGCCGTTGCTCATGGCACAGCAGTGTCTCAACCCTATTACTGACCTATTGCCTGAGGTCTGCTGCTTTTTTCATATGTCTGTCTGCCACAATTGATGGTTTCTTTTTGATTTTTGGTTTACATGTTAGGGCTGCTCCTGGCTAATGTCCGGTCTGGATGAAATGGGAAATCAGAGACTGACTAAGAATGTCACCATCTTTACAGAGACCTTCCCCCCGTCAACATCCTGGATCAAGCGCTTGACGGTGGAACCGTGTTCCAAGCCAAGAAAGCTCTAAAATTCCTGGTTTTATTTAATTCTATGTTTATCTATTTTATACACTATTCCCTTAATCTGAATTTAATTATCTGTTATGTTCTGTGTGTGTACAATGAAGGAGTTACAACTTTATTCAAATTACCTTGAACCATGTCTTTTAGAGGTGTTCCAATACTGAAAAGTATTCTTGAAATGGATCAATGTATGAAATGTGAAATGTTCTTTTTCAGAAAATAAATATGAAGTACAAAAATGCCCTGGACATTGCATTGTGAATCAA